TCCACGAAGAAAGAACGGTCATTAAAGACAGGAAAGAAAGAAAAGATGAAAGTGGATGTCAGAAGAGACTCTGAAACTTGCTGTTAATTGTAGAGTAGCTGAAGCAAATGGAAGAAATGCTGAAGTCAAGGAACTGAATAGAAAATCTCAAAGGGAAGTTAGAGAAGGTCAAATATAATGAAATATTCAAAGACCTAGATTTAGAAAATCAAAAAGGAAGAAAATGCTCGTCATATCTTAAACTGAAAGAACTCAAGGAAAAGAAACCAAACTTTGAGTTGCAGTATTGGAAGATTCCCTGGGCAAAATATTGAACGATGCAGAAAGCATCAAAAGAAGGTGGAAAGAATACACAGAGTGAACTAGTCGACATTCCACCATTTCAGGAAGCAGTATATGAGGCAGAACCAATGGTGCTAGAGGAAGAACTTCAAGCTGCACTGAAGATATCAGACCCAAACAAAGCTTCAGGCATTGATAGAATACCAATTGAAATGTTTCAACAAGCTGATGAAGTACTGGAAGCACTTACTCATCTATGCCAGAAAGTTTGGAAGACAGCTACTTGTCCAACTGACTGGAAGAGACCCATATTTGTACATATTTCAAAGAAAGGGGACCCAACAGAATGCTTATAGAACAGAATCATTGATATTACAGACTCACTGCTATAGAGTTGATGCTGACTCAAAACGACTCTATAGGACAGGATAGAACTGTCCCTGAGAGTTTCCAAGACTTTACATGCTTACTGGAATGAAAGCCCCATCTTTCTCCCATGGAGTGGCTGGTAGTATCAAACTGTGGACCTTGCAGATTTCAGCCCAATGCATAACAGTTATGCCACATGCAAGTAAAATATTGCTGAAGACCATCCAACAAGAGTTGCAGCAGTACATTGACAGGGAGCTGCCAGAGGTTCAGACCAGATTCAGAAGAGGATGTGGAACAAGGGATATCATAGCTGATGTCAGGTGCATGTTTGCTGAAAGTAGAGAATACCAGTGTGTTAATCTGGATACATTAGAGAAACAAATCCACAGAAACTCATATGTATAAGACAGAGTTTTATATAAAGGTTAAGTGCACATCAAGAAAACATCCCAACCCAGTGCTGCCCAAATCCACAAGTCCAACATTAACCCATATGTCCGACCAATCCACAAAGTCCTCCTCCATCTCACAAAACACATACTACGACACTGACTGCAGGAGGAAAGCCAAATCAGTGAACATGTAAGCATCTCAGTGCTGGCAGGGGTCTCCACTTGGCTGCTTCAGCACCCAGGGCCGCATAGGGGTAGGTCCATGTGGCTTCTCCTTGGGGATGTCTTGCAGGAAGTGAAGCCTTGCCAGCTGAAGCAGGAACTGGCTAAGGCAGCTGCACCTGGTCTGACCATCACAAAGCAAAAGACACGAGAACTAGAAAGGCGAGGCTCCCCGAGCCATTTATCCCTCCGCCCTTCAATTAACCCCACATGTGTTTATTGGCCAGGTTGGCATAATAAACTATCTCAACCAGGAAGATGTTTACTTGTGTTTTGTTGATTATGACAAGGCATTTGACTGGATGGATTGTAAAAAGTATGGAGAACGATGGGGATTCCAGAATACTTCATTGTGCTTCTGCGGAACTTGTACATGGACAAAGGGCAAACTGCATGGTTTAAAATCAGGAAAGGTGTGCACCAGGGTTGTATCCTCTCACTATACTTATTCAATCTGTATGCTGAGTCGATCACTAGAGAAGCTGGATTACATGAAGAAGAATGTGGCGTCAGGATTGGCAGAAGGCTTCTTAACAACCTGAGATATTGCTTGCTCAAAGTGAGGAGGATCTAAAATACTTGCTGATGAAGATCAAGGATTTCAGCCTTCAGTATGGGTTATAACTTTATATAAAGAAGGCCAAAATCCTCATGAGTGGGCCAATAGGTAACGTCATGATAATGGAGAAAAGTTTGATGTTATCAAGGATTTTGTCTTGCTTGGATCTACAATCAATGCCCATGGAAGAGACAGTCAAGAGAACAAAAGACACATTGCATTAGGTAAGTCTAATGCACAAGACCTCTTTAGAGTATTGAAAAGCAGTATTTCATTCTGTTGTGCATTGAGTAGCCATGAGTCGGAACCGAATTGATGGTAGCTAACAACAAAAAAAGTGCTTGATCAAGAAGCTTCAGAGATCACTACACCGTATCATGAACTCCGTGAGGACAGGGATTATGTTTTTCCTTACTGTTGAGTCCATGACTAAAGCAGTCTTTGGCACACTGCATATGCTCAAAAAGTGGTTGTTATATAGCTGAATGAAATAAACCTCTCATATGTCTTAAGTAACACACCCATTGAGAATCTGAACGTTCCAGGTGTGTGCTGTAGCAAGCTGAGGCTAAGAATAAGTGATGACTCATAAAGGCAGGTAGTGTAACTACTCACTCACTGCCAGCTGGTCAATACTGACTCACATCCACCCTATAAGACAGGGAAGAACTGCCCCTGTTGGTTTCATAGACTAACTCAGAGTAGAACATAGCATGTCTCCCGTGGAGCAGCTGGTGGTTTGCAACGGCTGACCTTAGGATTAGTAGCCAAATGTATAACCACTATGCAACCAGGGCTCCTTTACTGGGGTTAAATGTACACATTTTAAAATACGATAATATAAATCATAAGAACCTTTAAAAAAGTGCCTGTAGCTTGTAATCCAAAAGTGCTTGGGCACTTTTATGACTCTGTATTTTATGACTATCTCCTGCATTTTTCTACTCTTCCTAATGGCAGTTCGGCAGGAAGAATTAGTCTAATCAATACTTTTAATAGTGGAAACAAGATTATATCTTAGATTATGGACCTTCAAAGGACACAGACTCGACTGCACATATATTCTGGACAATGCCAGAACCTATGTCATCATTTGCTAATTGGGAAAATCCCCAAGTGTTTTTTTCCTAACAATTTTACTTAGCAAAAATACCAAGCATACTATCCAAGTTAATGAGCCTGTTTCCATTACCAATACCGAAAGTAATTTCATCTGTGCAACCATACGTGTTGCTTACGCTGACTGTTCCCTCTGAACTTCTGATGCTATTTTATATTTTATGATTTCTCTGTCCGCCGCTCCCCCACCCCCGCCCCACCCCAATTTCAATGAGTTAACCTGACTATGCCCTTTGGACTTTTTATATTTACTCTGTTTTACAGCTCGTATATTTTATTTTATTTTTAACCAATTTCAACAGCATGTTGTTACAAATGAAGCTGGTGATTCAGGCATTAGATATTATGTCTCACCGATTTTTTTTCTTTTGGTTTAGACTCATATAGCATATAGCACTGCTCCCTCTTGTGGTTTTGAGAAATGAAACCAAGCCAGACTTGTTTTTGTTGTTCAAAGAGTAGGAGAAAAGGAAAAAAAAAGTAGGAAACGTTTGGGACAATATGAACAGTAATTGTATTCCCTTTTGTTTTATTTTGTTCCTATTTTCTTCTTGATTCCAAGGAAGACAAGTATAACCAAAGATTGCAAAGAAATTGAGGAGATTCAGGGAAATTCAGTTGGGAATCAAAGCATCAGAAACATCAGTACAGAACACAGTCCAGGAAATTTATTTCTATCAACACAATCTTCCCAATAGAAGTATTTCTGACTTTACCTCAATTTAATATGAGTTAGATGACAAAAATCAGCGAACCGAGTATGTTTATTGGGATGACTGCGTGCAAAACGAAACAAGAACAAGAACAACAACAAAACCGACAGTTTTTTCCTTCAGAAATCTAGCCTGCAGAATTTAGAATTATATTTTGTGTTTAGAGAAATAACCACACAAAAAAAAGAAATAACCAACAAGAAACAGACACATAAAACAGATAAACAACTATTATCAGTAAAACAAGTACAAAAACCTTTACTTTGGTAAACTAAATGGAACATAATATTAAATATTATTATTTATTATTATTAAATAATATTAAAAAGAAAAAACCTTCATGTGAAATGTAAGAAAATTCTATACACAGAAATCCCTTAAAAGAAAAAAAATTTCTGGGGGACAGACAACCGAAAAGTGGATGAAGGGAGACGTCGGACAGGGCAAGATATGACAAAATACCCATTTATAAACTATCAAGGGCTCATGCGGGAGGGGGGAGCGGGGAGGGAGGGGAAAAATGAGGACCTAATGTCGGGGGTTTCAATGGAGAGAAAATGTTTTGAGAAACGATGTACAAATGCGCTTTACACAATTGATGTGTGTATGGATTGGGATAACAGTTGTATGAGCCCCTAATAAAATGTTAAAAAAGAGAAAAAAACACAAAAAACTACTGAAACTAAAAAAGCAAAAAACAAAGCAATTCACTTGACGAAACCACCAATTGCAATTGTAAAGCTGAATAAAATGATAACATAATACAAAAAAAGAAAGAAAAAAATTCATTCCCAAACAACCGTACTTTGAGGCTTTCACACTTTCACACTTGTTGAATTCGCACCAAGGACTGAAGAAAACGGGCGGGGGGGGGGGGGTTCAATGATTATAAACTACGAAAGCTTCTTAGAAGCGAAAGAGTCAGTAGTGAAGAAACAGTCCGTTTGCATTTCTAAACGCAGGTGGGATAAAATTCTTCCGTCCTTGGACCGCTGGGAGTTGTAGTCAGGCAAGTGCTAATTATTTTCTCAGCTAGAAGATTACTGTATTTCTTTTGCAAATTATCGGTGGACGGCGAGTCGCTGGGGCCAATTGACTGTTTCTTGTTCCCCATTGGACCCGTCCGTTCAACATTAGCGTAACTCCCGAGTTGACCAATGAGCGCCTTAGTCCAAGAAGGCTTTTGCCGATTGGACATATTATTCCTGCGTTGGAATCCGGACTGGCCAATAAGCGAGGAAAACGGACGTAAGTGACAGGGTCACTGGGAGAGAATGCAGCGCCCATTCGGCCGCCTCCCTCCGCTCCTTGGCTCCGCAGGTTAGTCCGGTCACTTGCAATCCCCGAGCCCGCGGCTGCGAGCGGGCCGTCCATCTCCGAGCCGGGGCCGGCTGCCTCCCTGGCGGACGTGGCCCGATGCTGCGGCCGACGCTGGGTTCCTAAAGCGCTGCAGCGGGAGGTGAGTTCCACGGGCGCCGCAGCAAGCGGCGGAGCCGGCAAGGCCGCGGAGAGGGGCCCCACCGCGCAGACGGAGACTTCATCTGGTCAGGGCCCTTCCTGCTTTCCCCCCAGGACCGGGCATTGCGTGGCCAGCGGGGCACTTGAAGCTCTGCCCTGAAAACCGGAGCTTTGTTTACTTTCCATCGTGCCCATCTCACAATTGATTATCTTAATTGACTGTAAGCAGTATTGGTAGGTACCATCACACGTCTTTCCTCAATCTTTGATCTTAGGTTGATTGTTTATGTAACTTTCGGCCAGTTTTGCACCTGTCTTATCTCCGAAGAGGGAAAGGAAAAGACATCTTTGTGTTTTGCTTGACTGAAGAAAGACTCGTGCCGTTAGCAACTCTTTCCCTGGTACTCAGCGGGCTGATGAATTCGGGCAGCGCAGAATACACCTGCCGGAATAGAAGACATCAGGGAATCAAATATTTGCATATCATGTTTAATATTTCTCAGGATCCTTATTAGAGTAGCTCTTTACCCCCCCCCCCTCCAATCCTGAGAAGCAGTGATTTTATGTGAGGAAACAAGCTATAAAAAAGTAACTTCTCAAAGTTACAAATGGTTACTAGTAAGGGGAGCCAGACGGGAATCAATCACCTCTGCACTGTAAACGTCTTCCTTATTTGAGTAAGGTTTTAGTTTATGTGAGTCCACTGAAGTTCTTGACGTGCAATACCTAAATTACTATCTGTGTTGTGGCTGAAAGAAAGAAAGAAAGTCTTTCAGTCATCTACTAATTTGCAGGTCCCTGACATGTATCACCCTTGTCTCTCTGAGTGTGGCTTCTTGATCATCAGCATAGGCTACGACTTGTTGGATGCCCTGTGCCAGGCATAAGCCCACCCACCTACTGAATCAGAATCTGCTTCTCAGTAGATCCCTTAGGTAGTCTGAATGCTTTGAAAAGTTTGAAGAGCACTCATTGCCCTGTAATGAAATTTTAAAAGTTCAAGAGATCCGCATGTTCTAATACGATTGGAAAGTAGAAGGCAAGGAGAAAGTATTTTTAAACCTCCTCAATTTCTAGTGAGGCTATGATGTATTATTATTAAATATTGTAGTATTTTAGCTTAACAGCCCCAATTCTTACAATGGCCATGACTATTGAAGGTCATTCATCAGTGGCTTGGGATCCCCGGTGGCATAGTGGGTAACTCATTGGGCAGCTAATCATAAGGTCAAGCAGATTGAAACCACCAGG